TCAAACCCTAGACTTTTACCCTATTAATACTACTATCTGAATGAGGGGTTGGTAACCTCTAAAGTAACCATAATTATCAAAAAGAAAAAAGAAAAAAATCGATAACTAATTGTTGACCAAATGTTTTTCAAGAAACTATATAATGTCTATAATGCCCTCAAGTCAAACATTTTGTTTTAAATCATATATATATATATATATATATATATATATATATATATATATATATATATATATATATATATATATATATATATATATATATATATACTCTAATAATGCCGTTGCATGATTCTGAAGACATGCTTTCAATTATGCACATTACACCAATATTATTTATATTTTTTAATATAGTAACACTTAAAATAATTGTTATTTGCAAAAAATAAATAAATAAAACCAATTTGCAAATTCAGCATACTTTCTAAAACAAAAAATAAGCCAGTACTCCAGTACATTCTTCATCTCACAATTTCGTGCCTTCCAAGCTTTCTCTCTCCTGATTTTTGTTTTCCCTCCTTTCCAAAATCACAATCCCCAAACCTCCAAAAGAGGGAAAAATGAGAACAAATGCGGAATGCTTACAGGAGCTGCTTCTCTGCGCAGCGGCGGCCGCCGTGAGCTATTTCGGCGGGAGCATGTTGCTGAAGCGTCTCGATCCCAACCGGAAAGCCGCCAAAGCCGGCGTAGAAAAGAGGAAGGCAATCGCGAAGCGTTTAGGCCGACCTCTCGTCCAGACTAATTGTTATGAGGTCTTCGATTTTCGTTTTCCTTTTAATTTTTAAAATTTTTTTTGGCTGCAATTGCTCTATTTTTCGAATTTTTTAGTTTAAATCTGGAAGTTAGTAGGGGCATGTTTCCGTCGGAATTTATGTTTTGTTTATTGTTGTCGGTGTAGTTTGACTTGAGTAATGGAAGCAACGCAGTGTTGATTAAAAAATTGCAATTGATTGTTGGTGGATTTTTGCCTATTTTAGCTGTACCGATCACTTTTGGTAGGGTTTAGTCTGACTTGGTGGAGTCTACTGATTTGTTAATGATTTGGGGAAATTGAATTACGTTGATGTTCGAAAACCTCTCGCATTTTGATTTGTTTTATTTTATTTTATTTTTGTTCTCCTCTTTTGGTTGCATTGCTCTGCCTCTGTTTTTTTTTTCAAAATTTTAGTGTAAATCTGGAAGTTAGCGGCCAGCTTTGTCGGAATATATATATATATATATATATATATATATATATATATATATATATATATATATATATATATATATATATATATATATATATATATATCGGTATATATAGACATATATATATGTATATATATATATATATATATATATATATATATATATATATATATATATATATATATATATATATATATATATATTAATTTATTGTTTTCGGTGCAGTTTGACTAGAGTAATGGAAGTAATAATAGTGTTGAAAGAACAATTGATTGTTGGTGAATTTTTGCCTATTTTTAGCTATATCACTTTTGGTAGGGTTTAGTTTGACTTGGGGGAGTCTTGTGATTTTGTTAATGGTTTGGGGAAATTGAATTACCCTGGTGCTAATGTTGGAAAACCTTGCATTTGGATTTTGCCTGTTTAGCTACATCACTTTTGGTAGGATTTAATTTGATTTGGCGAGTTGGTGCTAATGTTGTCGACTACCTTCGGAAAACGAGCTTAATGTTTTTAAGTTTCAATAATAATAAATGCTTTATAGGATGTTGTAGCGTGTGATGTGGTCAATCCAGACAAGATCGATGTTGACTTCGACTCCATTGGAGGACTGGATGGGTTCAAACAAGAACTGTACGAGCTCGTGATTCTTCCGTTGCGAAGGCCGGAGCTGTTTTCTCAGGGGAAGCTTCTTGGTCCGCAGAGGGGTGTTTTGCTGTATGGACCGCCTGGAACTGGCAAGACCATGCTTGCTAAAGCGATTGCGAAAGAATCTGGAGCTGTATTCTTCAATCTCAGAATATCGAATTTGATGGCTAAATGGTTCGGTGATGCTGAGAAACTAGGTATTTTATGCATACTTTTATCACTGTTGTGTCATTCGGTTCGTGCTCGTGAATAACTGATTTATCGGAATTGTGTTTTCAGTTCGCTCAAGTGTGTCCATGCCGGTGAAATCACTTGAACTTCATTTACTGATGAGAGTAATATTTTCATTTGTATTATAAGGATAGGTGGCATTTATAGTTTTATTGTAGATATTGACTGCAGTGCGACGTAATTCATTTGGTATTGTTGCGAATTTAATTTAATGTGTTATTTCAAATTCAAAAGTTGCAGATCTTGTTCTACTAAATTTGTTAAACTCGCGTGGATTCAAACTTCGTTAATCATGTGATTCAAAATTACCTACAAGATTTGAGTGTAGGGGATTTTTTTTTAAATTATCACATTTCTTGTATGATATGCAGTGGCTGCGGTGTTCACCTTGGCTCACAAACTACAGCCAGCTATTATCTTCATCGATGAAGTGGATAGCTTTTTGGGCCAGCGCAAATCTTCGGACCACTACGTAATTTCTATGATGAAGACTGAGTTTTTGTCTCTGTGGGATGGTTTCAACACAAACAGTAGGTTTACCATTGATCTCTCTGGAGGACCTTGGCGTTTGTGCCGACTCCACTGTGTTCAAGTTCGTTTGATAATTATACCTGAAAATGCCTTTTTTTGTTATGACATGATACATATTTTTTTTATTTTCATTCAGAGAATGCTCGTGTTATGGTACTTGCTGCTACTAATCGCCCCTCAGAACTTGATGAAGCAATCCTGCGACGACTTCCTCGAGCATTTGAGATCGGGATGCCTGATTTGAAGGCGAGGGTTGCGATATTGAAGGTGATATTAAATGGTGAGAAAGTTGAAGATGGCATTGACTATGATTACATATGTGGTTTGTGTGATGGTTACTCTGGTTCGGATATTCTTGAGCTCTGCAAAAAAGCTGCGTATTTACCACTTCGGGACTTACTCGAGGATGAGAAAAATGGAAAACCATCTCAGGTCACTACTCTATCCTACTCTTGCCTTCAGCATTAATAATCTGTGCTCCGTATTTCTGCACAAATTATACCCTATTTATTTGTCGAAACCATTTTAAACACTATTTGATGAATGAATATCGTACTGGTTGACCTTGCAACTTCAGTATAAATGCTATATGATTTTTTTTTTCGGTCCAACTAACAACTGGGGTTATGGGCCTACGACATTCTCTACGATATAAAACTTTTGATAACCACTCTATTGCAAGGGGAGATATGATCCTAGTAATTTTCTTTAGTTGATATTTATCTCTGCAAAACCATGTTTTACGTGATTGACTAAATTCGATCGTTTGTAGCATGATTAATCCAGATGTATCTTGTTGCTCGCAGATAATATAATGAATGCATCGTATTAATCACTATCATGCATAGTTGCATTTTTTGTTTCAGGAACTAAGGCCATTGTCACACTCAGATTTGGCGACAGTCTTTGCTACAACCACTAAGACAAGTGCGGCTGCAATTGAATACAGCAAACGAACCAAATGACACTAAAAAGGCCTATACATATATAATATACATACGAGTTCGAGTTTCACACAAGCTCTCTTTTTGAAAACTTCAGTGCACGATCCTTTAATTCTCATGCACTGTCGCTTAATTCTTACTGTCGGCTGATTGCTTTTACAATGAAAGCAAGCGTAACAGATTAGTGCTCGTCGCAGTGACTACTAATTCAAAATACTCGGGGTACATACTATAGGTATCGAAAATCGATGAGATTGTTGACTCACTCGAGCATGTTTTTCGACAAATTAAACTTCTTCACTGTTAAAATGTCCGCTTTAAATCTTGCTTGTTAATATTCAATCATCTCATGTTAATATTCAGATCAGTGATGGATTAGTGTACCTGCAGGTAAGAAAACCACTCTCTTAGTTCTTCTTCTAAAAATGCTTTTTATAAATAATGGACAGGTTTTGCTACTTAATCTTACTTTGCTTAGGGGGCTATGGCCCCCCAAAATAATTATCCTTTTAACTAGTTTATACATACATTTTGTTATTTAAATTATTTATTTATTTGTATTTCCTTATTGCCCCCTATTTAATTAACCTGATTAATCATTGTGTTAAAAGTTCACACATACTTTGCTCTGCTTGAGCTCATAATGACAGAACCTTTTAACTATCTGACGATGTAAAGCCTTTATCCTTTTCTTTTTCTTTTTTAAATTAATAATAATTAATAATTAATAATAATAGGAATTGCACTTGTAAAAGCATCTCCGACCGGTCTCACAATTTTTTCACCAAATTCCATTTATGGTGGTGAAAAAATGGGTTCATCTCCCACCGGTAGCACACCATTTTACTCCTCCACCATTTATGCTGGAAAAATGGTGTTTTTGGTCTCCAATGGGTTTCACCAAAATTTAGACCAAATATTAAAATAATAATATTTCACCATTTCACCACTTATAGGAAATGGGATTTGGTTTGATCTCCCATGGCATTTCACCATATACGCCCCAAAACTATAAATATAATGTTAATCGTAATTTTATAATATTTTATTTCATAAATATTAATTATAGATCCAATATGTTAAGTAATAAATTTTCTTAACTATATAATTTAAAAATTATGTTATCAATTTTAAAAAAATTGTCTAAACATGAAATAACATGAACTCAAATTATTTTAAATATAATAAAATCATATATAAACAATAATCTCATAAATTATTGCATAAATCATATATTAAGTACGACATGAGAATTTAAATAAGCAGTTCATGATGATTTAAATTTATATAATTTGTGTTATTGTTTATCATGTTTTGTTATCATGTTATGTTGTTTGTTATTTTATGAGCTATGTATTTCAATTTAAATGTCTCGTCCTGTATTTCATCAATTGAAGTGTGTTTCGTTAATCACTCTATTGTTGCTTATTATATTTTATTAATAGCAATTAGCGTATTAGTTAAGTAAAGAAATGAACTAATAAACATTGATACCAACAAAATATACAAATTAATTAAAAATAAGCATATTTATATTATTAAAATTAATGTTTTGTTAATAATAACAAATGTATTTATATTTTAAAAACTAATTTAATAATTAATACCAATTTATTTACGATAAATATGCTAATAAGTTGGTAATCGGGTGCAATTAGTTAAAATCGTCATTTTATATGGTACTTAATAAAATGGTGTTAATTACGCCAAATCCTATTTTCACCTCTATATTTGGTAGGAAAAATAGGATTTGGTGGAAAAAAAATAGGAAAATGGTGGACCGGTGGGAGATGAAAATTCCTTCACCAAAAAATTTGATGGAAAAATAGGATTTGAGTATTTGGTGATATGGGGTTGACCACAGTGGGAGGCTAAAACTAAATCTCTATAATTTTAGGTGTAATGGTGGTATAGAAATTTCCTGTGGGAGGCTAAAAACACCTAAAAATCATTGTCAGATGTACCATACCAAAAATCATTGTCACGTTGCCCTCAAATTATTAAAGATGGGAGCACTGTAACTGCTACTATTTACCTTTAACTTTTTGATCGAATTATATGATGGTGTCCCACATTTGTTATAGAAAGCTTGGCTAGTAAATTTTGTTCTATTCATTTAACTAGTATTTACACAAATTATACATTGAGCATGCATTTGTAATATTGTACATAAAATCGTGACTTAATAATATCAGATTAAAATACAGCATAAGAAAAGACAAATTTTCCTCACGATTTTTAAATAAAACAGAAACTAAATTATTTTTAAACCGTTGATTTAGGCGTCTTTAATTTTTTAATTCAAAAAACAATTAAAGAAGGTACAAGTTTTAACTTTTTTTTTTAGCAAAAGGAAATTGGTCCATAAACAATATAAGGTGTTAGGCCCGTGACTCATAAAAGAAGACAAGCACAATTAAACTAATATTCCAAGTTGAAACATGAAACCTCATCACCTAATGCTTTATTGACTTAATCAAGAAAACCAACAATAAAATAAAATATAAAAATAATAATAATAATGCAACAATACCCATAATCATCAATTACATATATAATATAGATTCTTGACCTATCCTAATCCTACTGGAAATCCGCGTAAATCCCGATCAATAAATAAATTAAACCCAAAAGGTAGTGAATCTTTTTTTTTTTATCCGAAAATCTTTATTCTCGTTGCAACAAAATAGTGATACAAATTTACCTTTTTGGTTTATGACACCGTACACTCGTCGAAATACATTAGGTGATTTTTAACCGTATGTAAATAATCTTACATCCACCCATATGTATGTGTGTTTTATTCGGAATATATTTCACCATATCAAGAGCCGAAAATCATCTAGGTGTAAATATCTAAATAAATGTCAATGAATTTGACTAATTATTCCAACAAATTAATGTTCATCACGTCAAGCACACAATAAGAAGCCCAGTCAGACAAAAGCAGCTATATGTGCATAAGAAAATTCACACACACCCACACCTAAATTAAATACATATTTTGACTAATTAAAGCACAAACACAGAAATTGCCGTATGCCGGCTATTTAATTCTTTCCCTAAACCCCCAAAAAAAAAACATTTAAATAGAGACCCTTTCAACATTCCCTCTTCAAAACTTTACCCCCAAATCAAATTAAATAAAAAATATTCTCATCGGGGGAGAGCTTTAATCAACAATCATCATTAATTTCAGCTTTAATGCAGATGATTCCCCACCTCCGATTCCCTTGCTTCTCAAATCTCTTCAATTAATTGAATTTTTTAATTTTTTTTTTAATTTTGCTATCAATTGTTCACTGATTACAACCTAGAAGAAATTCACCATGTTTCTGGCGAATCTCGCTCTACTGATTTTCTCAGTGGTTTTTCTGGTTGTAGTTTTCAGAATTTTGTCGAAAACAAGCTTAATCCATTCCTTGAAGAAAAGCTGGCGTTTCGTGGAGGAAAAATGCTACGTTTACCAGTTCTACAGAGTACCGAAATTCAACGACAACATGCAGGAGAATCAACTCTACAGGAAGGTTTACGCGTACCTCAATTCTCTGCCGTGCGTGGAAGATTCCGATTTCGCCAACCTCTTCTCCGGCACTAAGTCCACCGAAATCAATCTGATTTTAGATGAGAATCAAACAATCGCCGATCAATTCCTCGGCGCCAGAGTTTATTGGAAGATCGAAAACTGCCGGAGCGACAGCGGCGGTGAGAAATCGCTTCGTACTGAAGATCAGGAAGAACGACAAACGCAGGATTTTGGTGCCTTACTTGCAGAGTATTCACCAGGCGTTTGACGAAATTGAGCAGAAGCGGAAGGAGGTGAGATTGTTCGTCAACGTGGAGAACGGACTCCGGGGAGATGGACGGTGGAGATCGACCTCGTTCACGCATCCGGCGACCATGGATACAATCGTGATGGACGCGGATCTGAAAACGAGAATTAAATCGGATTTGGAGAATTTTTTGAAGTCCAGGCAGTACTACCACCGATTAGGCCGTGTTTGGAAGAGGAGCTACCTTCTGTACGGATCCGCCGGTACGGGTAAATCCACGTTCGTAGCTGCAATGGCGAAGTTTCTGAGCTACGATATTTACGAAGTCAATCTGCACAAAGTCCAAAACGACGCCGATTTGAAGTACCTTCTCCTCCAAACCACGAAAAAATCTATACTAGTTGTCGAAGATCTGGACCGTTACCTCGACGAGAAGAAATCGACGGCGGCGGCGGCGGCTGCTCTGAGCCTATCCGGAATCCTCAACTTCATGGACGGAATATTCTCCTGCTGCGGCGAAGAGAGGGTGATGGTTTTCACCGCGAGCAGCAAGGAAAACATCGGCGCGTGCGTCATACGCCCCGGCAGAATCGACGTCCACATCAATTTCCCCCTCTGCGATTTCACCGCGTTTAAGAGTTTGGCCGGCAGTCACTTAGGGTTAAAAGACCACAAATTGTTCCACCAGGTGGAGGAGATTTTCCAAACCGGAGCGACGCTGAGCCCGGCCGAGATTTGCGAGATCATGATATCGAACCGGGGCTCGCCGAGCCGGGCTCTCAAAACCGTGATCACCGCGCTGCAGGGCAACCTCGCGGGTCGGATCGGGAGGAGGCTGAGCGGGTCCGGGTCCGGGTCGGGTCGGTATACGGAGGAAACGGATGAGCACGCGAAGGAAGGGCAAAGTGGTATTCATCCCATGAAGGAGATCAAGAATTTGTATGGACTCTTGAGGGCGAGGAGTAGTAGAAAAGCTTCGTTGGATAAATTCGACGTCGACCCGGAGAATTCGGGTTCGGTTCATGGGGCATGATAACTGAGTCGAATCGGTTGCTCCGAAAAAATCCCTCGTTTATTTATTTCATTTTTACTTATACATATGATTCTATTTATCCACACGTTTGCTTTTTGGTTTTCTTGAATTGATTAGTTCGACTTGTAAATATTACCTTAGCACATTACCTTGGAAAACAGTTTGTAGATATAATTTTGTATGAATATATATAGCATCGTCATTTTTTTGGGGAGATTTATTTTGGGTTTTTTAATTGGAATTTCGCTTATGAAATTAAACAAATTAGAAAGAAAAATCTATTATTTGACTTATAATAATGAAATAACCTATATCAATCAATACTTATTATTATATTAAATATACATATTTCTAGAAAAATGAATAATAATTCTTCGGAGTTTATTCGTCGTTGTTAAAGAGAACTTGACAACGTACAAATTGCGAGATTGTTTGCTAAACTTCCACACCAAAATTAAGGAGTATTATATTGACTAGTTTAGAATATGTTGTGATGTACATTTCAATTGTATCAAAGGACATCTAGCTATAGTGAGAAAATTAAATTAAGGCCAACACGCGTCTAAAAAATTAATTTTCATGTACTTAATTCCTATTTTAATTAATATATAGGTATAGCCGTATAGACTATAGTCACTATAACATTAAATTTAAATTTTATAATGGTTGGCCGGAAACTTTCGCCTACTTAAAACTGTCTCTTCACTATTTTCCTAATTAATTACAGGATTTGAATTTCTCACTAAAATAAAAATAATAATAATATTCAACTTACTACATTTATATAGTATACTAAGTTGATGAATTTTGGGCCCAATGGGTCTACTTGGTACAAAGGAGGATGCCTTTTAGAGTGCTTTTGGGTTATCCAATAGATAGTTATTTTCTGAAAAGAAAAATAAATAATGTTTTATAACTTATTATTTATTTACATTTTTTAACATTAGAATTAACAGCTCTAGATTTATACGAATAAACTTCATTCTCGTGCAATAGTCCCTGTAAATAATATAAACACGAAATGTGTAAATTGCACTGGACAAATTTTACTATAATACAATATCCAACAAACCGTACTAGAATTATAAACCACACCGAACAAGTCAAGTTCAACAAGTACGACTTACAATTATGACATAGATCGGTTGGAAGATATAACATAAGTTTTTAAAGCTACAATCTGGTTTACTAGTCATATTATGCGTAACTCGCTCGTTAAATACTTAAGATAAGATTAAATAATCTTATGAAAATTCAATCGTATATAGAAATTCAATATATGCGGGCCGGCATGAAAAGCTAGTAAACTAATCAAACATTCAATAAAATCCAATCATTTAATTAATCTTGGGTAAGGGCTAATATTACAAACCAAACCTACCCAATTTGATTTACTTCCAGTTTCATTCCCCCGGACAAGTTTCCAAACAGACCCAATTTAATTTACTTCCAGTTTCACTTCCCTGGTCCAAACAGACCCAATTTGATTTAGTTCTAGTTTTCATTTCCCCAAACCAAACGCACGCGTTTGATGTGAAAGACTGACGTGTTTGTTTTCTTTCTCTCTCTACTGCGCTCTTGTAGTGATCGGATTTCTCGTCGTCGACTCAGATCACTGCTCTCTAGCCTCCTACAAAGATCTCATCCATCTCGTTTCGTAAGAAATTATTGCTGAATTTTATGTATTAGCAGTACTTCTTACCTAATTAAATTTCATAAGTATAATTTGAAAACCAGAAAGAAACTCTGGTTCTTTTTAGGGCTTTTAATTTGGAGAGCTTGCGCTTATGTTATTCACGAATTTATCGCATTTTTTAGCGATTAATGAGCAGTGTTTATGTTCTTTATATGCGATGTTTCGTGGATTTGTTTCGTATCCAGTTAAAATGGGTGTTGAATTTTGAAATGATTTTGTTGCAGGTGTTTTTGCTGGCGATTTGATTTAATTTTGAGTTAATTTTCGGCAATGGTAAAGTTTCAGCCCTTTCTCGAAATTCTTAAAATTTATTGTTTTGGTTCGTGTTTTGTCATTGAAGAACTTGTCGATTTTTATTTTCAGAATTTTTTAGTTGGAGCATTTAAGCCGGCATGCCACGTTTCGTTTACGTTTTCGGATGGAAAATCACGAAAGCAGGTTTGTTTTATCTAATAGCGTTCGAATTAGCATTGTATGAGTGCTTATCATCTCGCTTGTTATAGTTATGTTGTTCCTTCCAGTTGCACTTCTTTTTGGTGCATAATTGTGTCTAGTGAGTGGTGATTGTAGACGTAGGTATTTAGTTTTCATTGTTAATAAAAATCTATAGTTTTTTGTCGCGTGTCGGCACAACAAATTCTTGAATTATTTTTGTCAGTACTGGTAGGATAGGCTCATCGTTTTTTCGTTGCTTGTATAAATGTTACTGTAGGTGTCAATGAAGAAGGAGAATGGTCAAACAGTAATGGTCCCACTCTTTCACAATCACGAAAACATATCTGGGAAGGTAGTTTGCAGTTGTGTTATTAACATTGCCATTAACAATTTAGGTTCAAAGATAATTCAGATTCGACTATCTAATCATGGTGATGCCTTGCCATGTCATGCTTTCAGATTTCTGTCGAACCAGTTTCAGGGAAGAAGGTGGAGCACAATGGAATCAAAGTTGAGCTGCTTGGTCAGATAGGTGTGTTATCATGGTTTTTATTGATTTAAATTTCTGATTTCTCTGTTCTCAACATTAAATTCCCGTTTGCAGAAATGTACTTTGATAGAGGCAACTTCTACGACTTCACATCTCTGGGTGAGTACATACGGTTCGGTTTGGTTTATCCTGGAAGCAAATTTAAAATATTGTATTGTGCTATGTTGCCAGCTTCAGCTATATAGCAAATTGCAATAGGAAAAGCTTGTATGTAGCAGGATTTTTAATCCTTCGATTTGTTTGATTTTCATTATCTTTTTCTTGTTCTTGTACATGTAGTTCGTGAACTGGATGTTCCTGGAGAAATTTATGAAAGAAAAACATTTCCCTTCGAATTTTCAACTGTGGAGATGCCATATGAGGCGTATAATGGTGTAAACGTGCGGCTTAGGTGAGTAACTCATCTTTCTTTGATGTTCCATAAAATAAATTTTTGCTTTCGCTTTTCATGTAGTTTACAAAGAGATCCATGCTTTTAAATTTGCTATCTGTTTCGATGAAGCAGATAATGAACTAGGGGAATAAAATTTGTTCCGTAATACTTCGTATGGCTAACTTCCAGATTTTGTTTTATAGAAGTCTGTATGTTTTTTAACCATCTTACTATCCTTTTGTACTGCTGTTCTGTAGCATCCATGCATGTGTTCTCACTTCTCATATAACTTCTGAATGATGATCATATATTTATTTCAGATTGTGTGCGGTTCTTTTTGAATATCTATGTTCGTATTTTTTAAGGGAGTGTCAGTATAAAAAGTTATTGAAGCTTTTAATTGTTAAAGCTCTCAAATCATTGTTCTATAGCATCTCTTAGTTATGTGCAAAAGTATGGAGGAACCGTATCCAGATGTTTCCATTTTCGACATGTTAAGACTTTGATACAATTTAATGGATTTTTTTGCTCATGTTTCAGGTATGTCCTAAAAGTGACAATAACTCGGGGTTATGCTGGTAGCATAGTGGAATACCAAGACTTTGTGGTAATAATCATATTCTATTGCCCCATTAAAACATGCACATTAGCTTCTTTGAACCTTACTTAGGTAAATAATTGATTTCGATTTCCACAATATATCTAGTAGCTTTATGATTTTTCAACCTTGCTTCTTATGCTCTTCTTATCAAAGAATATGCACTACCCCATTACAAAGAGATGTATAATTGGCACTTGTTGCCTTACTCCTTTAATACGCTTCGAAAGTCAGTAGAACTTGGAACTCAAGGAGGAGCCATTGTTGCAGGGAATTAATTTCCTTTTTTTGTGTATATTTTGCTGCGATCCCTTTTAGAGTAGGGGTATTTCTTTTTTTTACGAGTTTTAAATCAATATAATCTATTCACTCAAGCTGATTTAATAATCTATTTACATGGATCAGGTTCGGAATCCCAGCCCTCCTCCACCAATCAACAACAGCATCAAGGTATTGTTGAATTTTGTTTTACCCCTATATCATCATCATTGATTCTGCTATTTAACTGTTGTAGAACCTGACACATTATGCACCCGTCGGTTAGATAATTTCTCCTTTTGTTGTTCTACATGTAGGAACATGTTATTAATCTTTCTTTTATCTTTACTTGTAGATGGAAGTTGGAATCGAAGACTGCCTTCATATTGAGTTTGAGTACAATAAGAGCAAGTAAGTTACCACCGCCTCTACTTAATTGTAACTTTGGTTTACATGTCTCTGTTTGGACGGAACTGAATTTGGGGGTGAATTTTCAATTAACCCACTTCATTTCTCGACTCTTGATGTGATCAAATATTTCTTCCCGACGTTTATAATTACTAAAAGTACCAGTGTTTATGGTTTGTATTCAAATCTGTATATTGGGTTTTTTATTAAGCCCCAGTCTCTTGCATGGCTTACCTGAAATATAGAAGAGGGTATTATTGTCACACACTTTTCGTAAGGATCTGAAATCATGTCTTTAATCGGATAGTGTTTATTTATTAATTTTAGGAGAGTGTTAGTATTCCCTCTTAATTCTTATGCAGAAGTTTCTTTTTGAATTTCCAGGTATCATTTGAAAGATGTCATTATTGGCAAAATTTATTTTCTTCTCGTTAGAATCAAGCTAAAAAACATGGATCTTGAGATTAGACGCAGAGAATCAACTGGATCGGGGACCAACACTCATGTTGAGACAGAGACACTTGCAAAGTTCGAACTTATGGACGGTGCTCCAGTTAGAGGTACACTTAATAACTCTTAGTTATTCTACAAAAAATCGTCTATCCACTTTTACTACAATATCCAAATTTTGTGTTTGTAATTTATTTATTTGTTATTTGTTTTTTAAGGTGATTTACTTACTTGATGCACACTTTTGCTTCGACAGGTGAATCTATTCCAGTCAGATTGTTTTTAAGCCCGTACGAGCTAACTCCAACATACTCGAACATAAACAACAAATTCAGCGTGAAATACTACTTGAACCTCGTACTTGTCGATGAAGAGGACCGCCGATATTTCAAGCAACAAGAAATCACAATGTTCCGGCTCGGAGAAACATCTTGATTTTAAAGTATTTGTTTGTTGAAGATTTACTGACAAAAAAAAAAAAGAACTTTTTCTTTGTTCTTATCAAATAGCACCGTCGTTGATGCAAAAATGTGCACAGTTGTATAGAGGAAGGATTATGTACATGGGCATGTCTAGAGATTTCTGCGACAAAAATGATTGTGCTTTTCGAGGTTTGATTCGAGTCTGTTTAGGTTTTCGCGTGTTCGTTAGGTTATTAATCATATTTTCCTCTTTCGGCTGTGTTTTAGGCTCTGTTTCCTAGTTTGATGTTTGTTTGTGAGCATTGCATTCATGTTTTTCTTATACTATATAATAATTGATTTAAGGGTTGCAAACTTAAGCTGGGTAGACATTGTTTACATAACTTTTCTGGTGTTTTTTTTTTTTTTTTTTAATTTTTTTTTTTTTTAATAATTAGTCATCGGAATTGAAATATGTATGAGATTTTGTTTTCGGTTCAGAATAGATCTCGAGCATCGTACTGTAGCGATTAACTGCTTACCGAACCATCAAACGACGTTGTAAGAAGAAGAAACGCATTATCACCTATAAAAAACGCTACGTGCGTTAGAGGTTGTTACCTGGTTTCGATTAGATTAGCTACAGCCAATCCGGGAGCGACTTGTGGTTGTCTGGCTCAACCGCAGTTCTATAAATAGAAGGGGGATCGGAAAGCTGTGTAATCGAGGTATCGATTCATATGTTTTGCAATTCATAATTCCGTTAATACAATTCAGTTTTCGTTCGTTTTGGTTCTCGATTGTTCGTAACTTAGGATTGAGGGTTTCAATCCTAACGAGTAACAACCGACTAACTATTGTCTATTATGCCAACTGCGGATGAGAATTATTGGGGTTTAATTGCTTCATAGTCATGAAATATATATATAATACAGGGTAAATTACAACCATCCCTGAGGTATGGTCAAATTATGAAGAAAAAAAATTTCTTGTTTAGATAATGATATTTATTTACCATGAATCTTCTTACATCTTAGGGTGTCAAATTCAATATAATCATCTAGATTCCGTGAAATGTTCTCTAATTTGTACTCGTACATCTTACGATCATCTAGTTTCAAAATGTAGAGCTCGAATGAGATAAAACAGATCTTAAATTGAGAATATTCCACTAAATTTAAAAACCGCAAGAGTGGACGTGTAAGAAGATTTATAATTTAGAGATGGTTGTAATTATCCAGATAGAAAGAGGATTTTCGTAATTTGACCATTCCTAGGGGTTGTTGTAGTTTATCCTATAATATGTGAATATTTCACCACTTGGAAAGAAGAAAACTAATATTATTATTTTCTGAATTTATAATTGAAATCACCGTCTTCTGCTCATATTTTAATATTTATATGCGTTGTCGGGACGTGCAAGGCACTCTCTCTCATGACGTTAATTAGATTAAGATTAGGGTAAATTACACCCACACCCCTGAGGTATGCTTAAATAACTGTAAGGTCCCTGTGGTATCGATAATTACACTCACCCCCCTGAAAGGTAGTTAAGAACTCTAACGGGATAATGCATTGGATACATTATTCCGATAGGGTTCTAATGGACTATTGGTTTCAGGAAGTGGTGAAGACAACAAAAAGTTATGGGTGATTTAAGAAATATTGGGGGAGCCATGTCACCCAATAACTCCCTATAACTCTATGTTATCTCCAGAACTAGCTAAAAGTAATAGTCCATTAGAATCCTATCGGAATAATGTATCCAATACATTATCCCGTTAGAGTTTTTAACTACCTTTCAGGGGGGTGAGTGTAATTATCGATACCACAGGGACCTTACAGTTATTTAAGCATACCTCAGGGGTGTGGGTGTAATTTACCCTTAAGATTATGAATTATTTGATAATCATAAATTAATTACCATTTTATTTAGATTAATATTATAAAATGTATGTATGTATGACATAGTCCAAGTCAAATCGTTTTCACGTTTGTTTCTTTATAATATTAATTAAATACATGTTGGATTGAACGCTCCCATTAAAATGTATCGCTGGTACCTGCCTGTAACCAATGATTTTCAGATCTCTACCATCTTTTTTTTTTTTAAGTTTGAAATAATTTAGCCAAACATGCCCCAAATGTCAAAATACATTTAACTTATCTTAACAAATGGGGCATTGCTATAGTAATTGATGCATTTAATAATGGAGAATCTGTTCATATATTTCAATATTATAAATTGATTTTTGTACCGCAATGTACTTTGATTTTCTCTCTTAGAGAAACCGAGGCAGGCTTCATCTGCTCCCATTTATAATAGAATTTATTCATTTAATTAAAACTATAATCGCAATAAATCATTAAAAACCATAAAATATCAATAAATCTCAATTAACTACATATATGTTATAAAAACTTTTTATAGGTGATAAAAACATTTTTGTGTTTTGAGCAAGTGAGTCGGTGTCAATCTGCCCAACTCCGAATCCTATCGTCAACGTCGTTAGGTGAAACTTGTCGCACGTGACATGATTAATCTAATATGGTTTACGTCTCTCGTATAATTTGCAAATGAGTTCCTTCATCACTATTTTTTTTTTCATTTATAGTTCGGATATAGGGGTGCTAAACGGGCCGAGCATACTCCGGAGCTCGATGAGCCAGCTCGAAAAAAGCTCGAATTAGAACTCGAGCCAGTTTTTTGTTGTTCGTGAGTTCACGAGCCTGCTCGCGATATTTATTATGTTTATTTTTTATTATGTTTATATATATATTTTTAATTTAATAATGTATAATAATATAAAATATCATAGAATAAATAAAAATAATATATATAATTAAAATTTATTTTTTATTTGTAATTTTTTCAAATAAATTTTAATAATAATTAAAAAATTATTAAAAAAAAATAATAAAATGAACTTAGAATCGAGCTCGACAAAATGGACACGAGCTCCATTTTAGAAAGAACTCAACGAACTCGAACTCGATTAAATAGACTCGAGTTCGAGCTCGAGCTCGAACCTGCCAAGAGAGGCAAGCTCGGCCGGTTCACACCCTAGTTCGGATACATCATAAGGAGCATTAATATAATATTTTGCACCATTAAGCTCGAGCATGATTGATTGACCTCGATCGGCAATTGGCTCGAATATTTTATTATTTAAATTTGCAAAAATTATGAAATATGTTTTATACAAATACATGTAAATTGCATTTAAGTGATACATATGAGAATAATATTAAAAATAAGCCAGACATTATTAATCATTATTATGAAAGTCGGTATGCTTCAAGCCGTCCATAAGTGGTCCCACATAACAAATCCGACGGCAGATATTCACAGATCACAAAAAATACGGGTCCCACACATCCCTTCCCTCGCCCGAGATCCATATTGTTGCAACCGGGCCCCAAATAGTCTAACCACCGACACAATGCCACGTGGCAAACAAAAATTAATAAAAATAAAAAACAAAATAATAAAATTCACCATCTCATCTCACACCACTCTCAGAGCAGCAAACGAAACCGCGTCCCCATTTGCCACCTACACTACACACTCTACTGTGTGTGTGTGTGTATGTATGCATCTGTATCTACACACATATATATATATATATATAAGCATCGCTTTATCTCTGTGATTGGGGTACGAAAAATATCCGAGAGTGGATCGTACATTTTCTCTCTCTCTCTATATTTATCTTTAGCTTCTAGCTAATTTTACTGAGAGAGGAATTTTTTTTTTTTTTTTCAATTGTGTGTGTGTTTTTGTAGGGGAGAAGATGGAGTTGTTTTACTATATGGTGTTTGGGGGTTTGGCCGCGGTGGTGGCGGCGCTGGAGCTCAGTAAAAGCAACAAGGATCGGATTAATACTTCCTCAGCTTTCAATTCCTTCAAGAACAATTACTTGCTCGTTTACTCTCTCATGATGGGTATGTCAATTAAATTGCGTCACGATTCCAGATCTGGCTGTTAATTGATTTCACAATGGTGTATAATTTATAATTTGAATTTGGTTATTTAGTCGAATTTCAGTACGGAGAAAAATTCGTACTGAAATATGAGTGCAAGTATTGTACCGTTATAACTATGCAAATAATTCGTTAGATCGTAGATCTAAAGTAGTGGGATTAAAGTTAGCTGGTTTGGATCCGATGATTGTGAGTTTGACTTTGATAATGATTAGGGATAATGTTTTTGGTGGGTGGATCTAAGATCTTAGTTGGGCTTGTTGTTTATTTGTTGAGGTAATTGCATTGCTACTAAGAGTGGGTGATTTTTCGTGATGGTCTAATGGAGTCGAAAGTGAAGTAGATTTTCGTTTTCTTTTTCCGTACATAAAATGCATTATGCTGTCTGAAACTAGGTTAATTAGAAACTGTTTGGATAGGAATTTATAATCTTCAGATACATTTATAAATTATTCTGGGGTGGAGCGTAAATCGTTTCACATAGCTTTTGCATTTTCTTTATTTCCGAGAAACATTTTCAATCGCAGTAGTCTTGCTTTTGCTGATGGTTGCTTTCTATGTGGCAAACAGCTGGTGACTGGTTGCAAGGTCCCTATGTGTACTTCCTTTACAAGTCTTATGGTTACGGGAAAGGTGAAATCGGACAGCTCTTTATTGCGGGATTTGGGTCTTCCATGTTGTTTGGAACAATTGTTGGATCTCTAGCCGATAAACAGTGAGATTCCCTCCTCGAATAATTTAGATGTAATCTTCACTTCTTCTTTTTTTTCAGAAATTCTCATGATTGAGTTCTGTAATGAACTTGTAGGGGGCGGAAGAGAGCATGTGTTACTTACTGCATCACATATATACTGAGCTGCATTACCAAGCACTCTCCGCAGTACAGAGTTCTGATGGTTGGACGTATTTTGGGTGGTATTGCTACATCTCTCCTGTTTTCCGCATTTGAGTCTTGGCTCGTGGCAGAACACTTCAAGGTGGGGGTGTTCTTACATAGAATAACTACTAATTTGATGTTTATATACATATAGATCAGGTTATAACTGTCTACTTTATGACCTCATATTGTAGAATTTCACCCATATATATTTGTGAAGGATGTTTTGATCTGCATTTTATTTCTCCCATGTCTATGTTGTCCACTTCTTTTCTGTGGGATATTATAGGATCAAAAAATAATTAATCTGCTATTTTTGCCTCGTTGTGTGAAGTTTAATGTGCTGGTATTGCACATGGAAAGGTTGCATTGTTTCACAATTTTCGGGTTCTGTTCTTAAGCGATCAAATGCAATTTCTTCTCATTATTTGTATAAACTATGATGGGTCCCTCCTAGAGGATAGTTAATAACTGAAATCTTGAATTCCACAATATATTTGCAGAGGGGTTTCGAACAGCAATGGCTTTCAGTGACTTTCTCCAAGGCAATATTCCTTGGCAATGGCCTTGTTGCTATTCTATCGGGGTTGTTTGGAAATCTGCTAGTTGATACCATGAATTTCGGGCCTGTGTCTCCCTTTGATGCAGCTGCCGTGTTTCTAGCTATTGGAATGGCTGTAATATTATCATCTTGGACCGAGAACTATGGGGATACTTCAGAGAACAAGGACTTACTCACTCAATTCAAGGGTGCAGCTATAGCAATTGCTTCAGGTATTACTTACTCTCGTAAATTAATACAAATATCTTCATAGACTACAGATCTTTAAGCACCTACAGACTATAAAGAGAAGTAAAAGTCTGCAGTTATAGATTAGATTATTTTATAAATTATGGCTATTTAACAAATACAAATATGTTGAAAGAGGTACATACCATGATGTTTGTAGTACATGATGTTCGGCTTAGTTTTTTTTTATTTTTTTTATTTGTTATGCTACCAAGGAGAAGATCTGCTTCCTCCAAAGTCATTTAATTTTTTTGTTAAATTTAATATCCTTATAATAGAACTTTGATGCCATGGTTTGAATTGTCAGATGAGAAGATTGCATTGCTTGGTGCTATACAGTCCTTGTTTGAAGGTTCTATGTATACATTTGTGTTCCTATGGACACCTGCTCTGAGTCCAAACGATGAAGATATTCCCCATGGTTTTATCTTCGCAACTTTCATGTTGGCTTCAATGTTGGGAAGCTCAATTGCTGCTCGTTTATTGGCCCGTAACTCAGTTAAAGTGGAGAGCTACATGCAGATTGTATTTGTTATTTCTTCTATCTCGCTTATGCTTCCCACATTGACGAGTGTAATTCCCGGTTCCCTTTTCTTTCCTTATATCTTTTTTTCGCTTGTGAACAAAATCTTACTAATAACTATTTATGGCAGTTCTTGGTAACTCCTTCAAATGTGAAAGGTGGCAGCATCTCGTTTTCAGGCTGTCTCCAACTTCTTGGATTCTGTACTTTTGAAGCTTGTGTAGGAATTTTCTGGCCGTCCATTATGAAGATGAGATCTCAATATATCCCCGAGGAGGCTCGAAGCACCATCATGAACTTCTTCCGTATCCCACTAAACATCTTTGTTTGCATCGTCCTGTACAATGTATGTCCACTGGATCTTGCTTATATATTTACTTATTGTTCGAATATGAATGGCTCTGGGGTTTTAGTTCATATCCCAACTTAAAGATTTACAATTTTCTTGAATATCTGTAGGTCAATGCACTCCCCATCACAATTATGTTTGGAATGTGTTCCATCTTCCTCTTTACGGCATCCATTCTTCAGAGACGGCTATCAGCAATTGGAGAAAAGCCAAGTGAGTTTGTCTACGTGTAACCATAATTGAATATATTTTTGAAGTCTTTTAACATACAAACACTTGGTAGTATCTTCTATTACAACGCATCTAGGTTATCCCGTCTTATCGGAAGTCAGTAGGTTAAAACCCTCATGAACGACACATCTATTATTCTCAAAGTCTCATTTTTTTTTTGTTTTTCTTCTCTTTCTCAGAGACCGAAGAATGGACTATGTTGAAGGAGAAAAATGCAGAGGATGAAGAATTAAATGTTGCTTGATCGATTATTGAAGGTTTGTTTCCGATCTTCTATCTGTTGCCATAAGACAACATTCGTCTTGTGTAATAGGGGGACTACGGTAAATTATAGTGATCCGTGCAGCAAAGGATTAAGTAGTGAAAAAAAATGCCATGCTGTAAGGATAGTCTTCCTTCTTTTTTTTTTAATGATAATTTCTAAAATCGTATTTTCCTAATGTTGGGTTCGTGTTTAAGTATATCCACCGAGCACCCAGTTTTGTATTCAGACACTAAATTTATTTTTCTTAGCAATCTTACTGTAAGGATGTAATGCAACAAGAGGAGCATATTCTTTTGAACACGTTCGTCCCGTCTTTTTTTTCTTGCATGTTTATATGAAGTCCAATTGCGTTTATGAAATCGAACCTACGAACGAACATAAGATTCTCAACTCGGCTATTTTCATCGCACAAAATCTCGAAAGTACTAACAAGATTGGTTTAATTTGTCTCAATTAATTAGTACTAGCTATCTAGTGTGTGTAAAAGGACATGGCCAAGAATCTTTTGGATCACCTTTTCTCACAAATCAGTATCCATTATTAATATTATTTATTTATTTATTTATTATTATTTATTTAATAATATCAACTATTTGATTATGGACTTCTTACCTAAAGATGGTCCAAATAATCTAAGTACACTTGTTGTAATTATACCAGCTAAAATACAGCTAAAAAATTATATGCTGCTATAATTATAGAGCCAAAGTCAGCTAATTCGCTCGACTAATTAGTAATTAACCGATAACATACGGTGTGCAATGTCCAAATTGTCCTCCTTTTTCCTTTTTTTTTTCCTAGAACAATTAACAACCAAAAGAATAGATTTTAGATTCTTTCATCTTGATCCTGAATTCCTGATGATATTATTTGTTTGTTCACATATGCTGGTTAACGAAGATGCCCTTTCGTAATCACGTGACTAGTGGGATCTTTTCGTTGTTTGCTAAAGCCAATCACAATTTTTTTTGATTATATATATATATATATATATATATAATGATCCACAGAAGCATATTAAAGAAAAAAAAGTGATACGGAGAAGTAGACATGGCGTGATATTGCTTCGGGTTCATCAGCTCTGGTAGTTGACTGATGAGCCGAATCAATATCACTCTTGTATACTTCTCTGCTGCAAACAAACAAAAAAAAAAATTATCTTCTTTATCGGATAACTTTTCCAGCCTAGTCTTCTTCGTTAATCATCGGTACATTGGAGAAATTACGACTACGTAAATCAACACATGAAAGTCTGAGGCTGAGCTATATATACTTTTATGCGCCTAAGTTCAGCAGAACATCATATAATGCTTCTTTTGTTTTTTTTTATTATTTTATTTTATATTTCATTTCAAGTATCGTACAACAGTTTTGCTAAAGTCGCTAGACCATTAGGCAAAAGTCGCGTTCACATCTCAACGCTGATAACTCCTTGGCGCCGTTTACTCGACCGTTGACTCCGTTACTACTAATTCCCACTTCTACTTCACTTTATTTCCTTTTTTTTTTTTTCTTTTTTTTTTTTTTCTTTCGAAAAAACCGAACCATCACACTCTCCGCAGTACCGCGTAGAAAGTGTGTTGGTATCAAAAACCCCATTTTTCTTCTCTGCAACTTCTCAGAAATTTAATTATCAAAAAAAAAATAAAACCTCTCAGAAATTCTCGACGAACTTATTCTCATATACGTGTTTCGTACTCTACTGCTCCAAATACAGGTAATCAATTGCCAATTTGCTTTCAGGATTTTCCATTTAGTTTTGTTTTGCTTTAATTTGTGTGTGTGTGTGTGTGTGTTATTTTTTTGCTTCTGTTGGGCAACTCTGGGTTTTTTGCTTACAGGATGATCGGGCAATTGTTCGAGTTCGAGAATTTCAATTTTAAATGATAGGTAAATGCACAAACTGCTGAATCAGGTTCATCTGTTTGTAATTTGTTGAAGCTGAAGCTATTTCAATTTATTTTGCAATTAGGTTTACAGACGCAGGATGAAAAAGCATGCCCAAGTTCACCTTCTCCGTAAGTTCGAGAAGCTGAAAACCCCCAGTTGATATCAGAGTGTACTAAAATGGAGAACTCGAAAAATCTTCACGACATTGCGCAATCCGCATACGAAGCATCGCAAATCGCAAGACAAACCCTAATTCAAAAGGAGAATTTCAAGAAATTCTCATCTTTCTTAGAGAGACTATCATTTTCCCTAAAAGAATCCTCCAAATTCGACGCGGTGAGAGATTCCGAAACCCTAAACAGAGCAATCGAGAATCTCAAAGCCGAGATCGAAACTGCCAAGCAACTTGGCACTGAGTGCGCCGAAGGAAACAGAATTTACCTCCTCCTAAATTGCAAGAAAATTGCGGGCGAGTTGGACAAGACTAGCAAGAACATTAGCCAGGCTTTGATCCCCTTTACTTCAGGATCTTTCGAATTAGAATCAAACAACATCCTTGCAAATCTGTGCAAGAACATGTCAGATACTCAGTACCAAGTTTCTGCTATTGAACAAGAAATCCTGCAGAAAATCGAAACAGGGATAGAAGATAGAAGAATCGACCGTTCGTACGCAAGCAATTTGCTTGTTCATATAGCCGAATCTCTCGGTATTTCTTGTGAATCATCTGAATTAAAAATGGAATTCGAAAGATTCAAAAAAGAAATTGAAAATATCGAATCCAGTACAGAGGCTTTGCGTATGGAGCAGATAATCCGACTCCTTAGTAATGCAGACATGGTCACAACTCCAAAGGAGAAGGAGATTAAATATCTGACGAAACGGATATCGCTAGGCAGGCATCTTTTAGAACCTCTGCCGTCTTTTTACTGCCCGATAAAATTAGATATAATGGAGGATCCAGTCGAGACGCCAGCTGGACATACATTCGAGAGGGCGGCGATCGAGAAGTGGCTGATGTCAGCGGAAGGTAACAGCCTCTGTCCAATGACGAAAATGCCCCTGAGCAGATCTTCACTGCGGCCGAACAGAGTTCTCCGGCAGTCCATTGAGGAGTGGAGAAATCGAAACATCATGATTAGTATAGCTTCGATGAAACCTGAGATACAGTCGAATGATGAGCTGGAAGTGCTTCGTTGTCTGAATAAGCTGAGAGATTTGTGCGAGACGAGTCAGATGCATAGAGAATGGATAGTTATGGAGGATTATATACCGATTGTTGCAGGTCTTCTTTCTGCGAAGACGAGTGAGTTTAGAGTACGCTCTTTGGCTGTTCTTTACTATCTTGCAAAGGATAGTGATGATAATAAGGTAATTCTTGTAGTCAATATTTTCTTTCTATAGATACTTAAGGCTCTGTTTGGTTCATGAATTTTGAAATGAGGAAAATGAAAAATGCAAAAAGAAACGGAAGCAAAAAATTTGAAAATGTGTAGTGTGTTTGGTTGCTAATGAAAACGGAGATGAAATTGATTCTGTGGAAAACATTTTCTTTATCCAAGCAGACGTGTTTGGATTTGTTAATCCAAACATGTCTAATCAAACAGGAAACCAATTTTACCTAGTCCTTTCATTTTTTACTTAGCATTTTCCTTAATCCAAACAAAACCTTATCAAATCACAATTTTCACTTGTGTCAGGAGAGGATTGTTAAAGAAAATGACAGCATCGTATACATCGTTCGTTCGCTTGCGCGTAAAGTTGAAGAAAGTTTGTCAGCGCTGCAGTTGCTCTTGGAACTATCAAGAATTACACATATCAAAACCCTAATTGGGGGTACACAGGGTTGCATACTTCTGCTTGTCACTTTGGCAAACAGTGACGACCCTCAAGCTTCGAAATACGCACAAGAGGTTTTGAAGAATCTAGCTTTTGTTGATACGAACATTATACAAATGGCAAGGGCAAAATTCTTCAAACCCTTATTGCATCGTCTTTGCGAAGGTAAAAATAAATCAATAATAATAAATCTTGATTTTAAATTTTTAACGAGTTGATATTTACAGGACCTGTAAGCATACAAATAACAATGGCGGATACCTTAGCCGAGGTTGAGCTAACCGATCATAACAAACTGTGCCTTTTTAGAGACGGGGCATTACATCCGCTTCTTCAGATGCTTCGAAATAGTGATATAGATGTAAAAGCCGCAGCTGTTAAAGCTCTACAGAATCTCTCCGGGGTAGCACAAAACGGTCTTCGATTGATTAAAGAAGGGGCGAAAGAATCATTGTTCGAGCTTCTCTTTTGTCACTCTTTATCATCGTCATCATCCAAATTGCGCGAACAGGTGGCGAGAACTGTCATGCACTTGGCCATGTCCACAACTTCCTCGGAAGCTTCCGAAGAGCAGATTTCACTTGTCGAAACCGAAGAAGATATTTTCAAGCTGTTTTCTCTTATCTCGTACAGTGGGCCCGATATGCAAGAAACCCTTCTCCTCACATTCCTCGCCTTGTGCAAATCGCCTACCGGTTCCCAAATCAGGAATGATTTGAGACAGGTATTATATTTTATGCCCTCTCCCATGAAATTTCAGTCCACATAAAAATATCTGAAATGCTAAATGTTATTTCAATTTTATTGATACCGTTTCAACTTCAAATTTGGCCCTTTTTCAGTTCAAATTTGGTAAAAGTCCATACACAAAATTTATAGTTCTTCGTGTAGGCTTTCTAATCCAATTTGAATCATTTAGATTCGATATCTGATGTGAATGTTGTGCATAAATTAGTTACACGAAAAACTCAAAACATCAAAGTTGTAGTCAATGTTCTTTCATTAACGCATGACTCTCTCACTCGACATCCAATCTAGGTGATTCAAGTTGGATTAGAAAACCAACTCAAAGAACTACAAATTTTGTGTTTTATCTTTTGCCAAATTCTAATTAAAAAAATGTTCAAAAATCACATTTGAAGTCGAAACAGTACTATTAAAATTGAAACAACATTTTTCACCTCCCTAAAAATATATGTTTTTTTTTTCTCGCATTTAACCAGATATCTGCTGTTAAAGTACTGGTCCAATTATGTGAACTGGATGATCTCTCAGTGAGGGCAGCTGCTGTGAAATTGCTGTACCGTTTAACGCAAGATGGGGACCACACAACTTTCTTGGACCATGTGAACAAGAAATGCACTGAAAATATCGTTAAAATAATCGAAACTTCGAAAAACGAAGAGGAGGCAGCTGCAGCAATGGGTGTAATCTCTCACCTCCCTCGAAACCTCCAGATATCCGAGCACCTCCTAGACTCAGGGGGACTCGAAGTCATTTTCGATTGTCTAAATTACAAAAACACCCACACCCCTCACGTAAAGGAGCTAGTCGAAAACGCAGCCGAAGCCCTATCCCGTTTCACCGTATCAACCAATCCCATGTGGCAGAAGAGAGTAGCCGAAGCAGGAATGATCCCTGTTCTTGTGAAACTACTATCCACAGGACCTCCTCTTGCTAAATCACATGCAGCAGTTTCATTAAAGCAGTTTTCAGAAAGTTCTGGAAGCTTGAGCTCGCCCGTGAAAATGGGAGGTGTTCTAGGGTGTTGCTTCGGTTCACCTCCGGCGAACGTATGTCAGATACATGGCGGCGTTTGCAGCACTGAGTCATCGTTCTGCCTCTTGGAGGCCGGAGCTGTGGGTCCCCTTGTGGCGGTTTTAGGAGAGAGTGATGATTTAAGGGTTTGTGAAGCTTCTTTGGATGCGATTTTGACGTTGATTGATGGGGTGCAGCTGCAGAGTGGGTGCAAGGTTCTTGATGAAGGTGGTGCATTGGTCCAGATGATTAAGATATTGAACTGTTCTTGCACCAATGAACTGCAGGAGAAAATGTTAGGGGCACTGCAGAGGATATTTAGACTCGTGGAGTATAAAACGAAATACGGGAAATCAGCGCAGATGTCGCTCGTGGATATTACTCAGAGAGGGAGCAGTGGCGCGAAATCTTTGGCTGCGAAAATACTGGTCCAGTTGAATGTTCTGAATGAGCAGTCTACCTTTTTTTGATGGAGATGTGTGAAAAGGTTTAGTAATTATTATAATTATTATTGCATTTATTTGTCTTGTACATATGATTGGATTGAATTTATTTCAAAAACTTACAGTTGAAACAAAAGGGAAACTTACAGTTGTTAAGTAGCTTAACATGTGTTGTACTAACCACCAGTAATTCCGTTCTGTGATTCACAGTTGAGAATTGTAAAATCTCATCCAAATTTCACAAAAAACGGTTAGATCCAGAATACAGGCGAAGAATTTAGGTTTAAAATAAATTACGAAACCACATAAACATAGTACGCATAACCGGGATGATGGCTCTGCCTACAATGTTTAACTACATCGATCAGTTCATTATAATACCGAGGTATCTGTATTATGTAGCGCAAAGAAAATGATAATCGTACACTGGCGGACACTATCAAACCATCAGTCCTAGTAAGTAGCCTCCAAATTGCAAGCAGTTATTACAGGGTCGTTGCGAATCTTGTGATACGTTAAAATGTGGTATACACGGGATACAGTAAACTAAAGATATTAAAAAAAAAAAAAAAAAAAAAAAAAGGAGAGGTTAAGGCAAAGAGCCTCGAAAGGGAAAAATGCTTCCCTCGAAATGACATATATAAACCCCCTGGATCGGTCCTACGCAACGCATCTGCAAATATACCTCATAAATCTCCTCACTCAGTGGGTCCTACACAGAAGCGTCGTTGCATGTTCAGAGCGATTTATTAGCAAATTTTGATTTTTGCGAAAGCTAAATGGCCGTTTTCTTTTTTTAACAATGAATGGTCAAACGTTTATGCGTAGCATTTTTCACCTGTCAACCGCAATCTCAACGTTTCACCCAATGCCCACCGCCTGACCTTGGACCGCGATCTCGAGCAAATTGGAGCATCAATCGGGGAGATTTGCCATCGTACTCATCGACTCTATAACCTGCAATATTCAGCTCGGCTATTTTATGGTGCCAACTGGCGTCGCATTATCGGTGTATTATTATACATTAATTCATGATCATGTCCATCTAAGCAATTAAATACATAATGCATCGACGAATGTACTCCAGTTCATTAAATATGCTTGAATAATGTGATTTTTTTTCTCAAAACTAGTGTGAATTAACGATCAAGCTAAGAGAAGGAAACCAGTCTTTATGAACTCAATTAGGTACCACATACCAACATAAATGAAGAAATAAACTAGGAATTAGAGGCGTTGGACATGAACACCTAAGCTGTCTAATTACAGACATGAACTCCCGTCAAATTATAAGCTTACTCTTACAAAATCATGACACTACGGCAATGATATGGAACTTCAGAGTTAGATTTTTTGCACATAAAAGAATCATGTTTCGTTCATAATTCTACAAGAAACATAGTCACAATAATCAAAAAAAAAATCCAGAAATTCCTATCCCTCTATTTATCTCTAGTTCCAAAGATCAAAGAGCCAAGCAGAAAGTATTCCAATAATTTTCAATTCGCTAAAAGTTTCATGTGAGTCGAGTCCAAGATGATCTATTCTTAGTCGTGGGGAGAAGAAACCACAAAAATCATTCTTTAAAGAAACATTTTGAGGCACTCATGCAAGAAATGTTACATGTAGCCAAAAATTAAAACCATTCTGCTTTCAGTTTTTTTGAATAAAGTTGAACGTTTTGCTGACAAATAGGTCACCAATCACTACGCCAAGTTGTCAAAGAAAACCAGTTATCCTATAAAATGACCTCCCGCAAAATACAAAATAAATCCCGTGTGTTCATAAGATCGGATCCAGAAAAAAAATATTTCTTAGATTTACCCATTCATGAATCTAGAATAGTTGCCAACTCATATATTATATGAAACAAAGAGGAGAGTTCTGAGTCAAAAAAAGAAAAAGTAATCGCATCGGAAATAAGATCAAATTAAGGGTAAACGTTACCTTGTAAAGCATCCATTGCCGTGGCTGCATGGGCTGGACTCAAAAAATCAACGAAGCAAAGCACCAGCATATTACCACTAGACTGGAAAGTACATTTCAAACAGAGTACCATTAGAATACACTACAAGTATGACATAAATAAACACTGCCACTACGCATTCAAACAAATGCTTACGTATTTTGATTCTGTAGTTACAAGTCTAACACCTCTATAACCTACGAATGGGCGAAATATATCTGCATAGAAAGTTAAGGAACGAACTAGTATTGTTAAATATACGAGAACAGATTATACACCGAAAAAAGGATACGAGAAATTTCCCTGCGAGAGCAACTCACAGGAAAGCCCTCCACATATAGAGTGTTGCTAGCATCAATAGGAAGCGAAATTTCAGGAACTCCTCCCATTTTTCGAATAACAGGAATGATTTGAGGCGGTCTTCCTTTAGACATTAGTCGTGGATCATCATCAACAAGATGATGTCCGCCGAGTCCGTTGCTCCCCGATCTTATATAGTCACCGTCAAATGATGGCTTTTTCTGTAAATTGAACAGCTATGATCAAACATCACATACAGCTGATACAGCACATATATCTCGAACAAATGAATAGATTCAACCCGGAAAATGGAAAATAAATTGTCATTGGGCAAAGGTGAATACCGAATTGCGAAAGGTAGCGATCATATGATGCATCAATGGAGCCAGTATCTCTGATGCCACGGGAATCTGCCCTATCGTCTTCATTGGCAAAATTACCAGGAAGGTCATTTGCCGCTAGGGCATCCTCTATAATAAGACAATAAAGGACAAAACGGGTAAATGTTACAGGCATCTGAAAACATCATTTGGACTAAAGGAAAAAGCTCACAGACTGCTATTGAGAATACCTGGCGTAACTTAAACCCACCACCACC